TATCAGTGATAAATTTCGATAGGTTGAAATTCGAAAGCAATTTGAGAGTTCTGTTTTTGAGGTGCTCTGTCGATGTTCATGTAGTAAAAGCCAAACCTTGGCGATAAAGACTGGAACGCGCAAAAATTGGGCGACAAAAAAATCGTTTCGTTCAGTCAAAATTCATATCACAAAAATCTTATTATTTTTCTTTTGGTAGTTCAATTCATATATTTAAAGGAAAAAAATGTTCGTTTATTCTTTTGGCTTATAAGTTTTCTTGAGATTCCGTGTGACCAAGGCCCAATACCGTTCGATAGGGTGGAGTTCTGGGCTGTTGAGAGGGTTGTGATCTTTGGGTACCACAACCACGTTGTTCGCATCGTACCACTCGATTGCCTTTTTCCCATAGTGACAACTCTCCAAGTCCGGCCAGAACAGCACAGGTCTATTATGTTGCTTTAGGAATGGTAGCAGCCGCTTTTCCAGGCAGTCCTGGACGTAGATCTCTTGATTGATGGTTCCCGTAGTAATGAAAATGCTACTTTTTAGAGCACTCGTGCATATGGCCTGCCAGACGAGATATTTTTTTTGGGAACTTCGATAGTTTGATGATTTTTAAAAATTCAGCCACCTTCCCTTTTCCTGATGCGGTAAAAAACTCCTGTCCCGGAAGCTGCTTGAAATCCGCCCACACTAAAGTTTCGTCATCCATGACGACACATTCGATTTTTGTGAGCAGATTCGTGTACAGCTTTCGGGACCGCTGCTTTGCCGACGTGTTTTGTTCGTAATCTCGGTTTGCCACCTTCACCTTCTTAAACGTCCACAATCCGGCTCGTTTTTTGGCCCGCTGCACAGTAGTATGGGAGACATTGAGCTTGCCAGCGACGTTCCGGATGGAGAGGTTAGGATTCCGCTCATATTTCGTCGTCGCTGCCATGTCCGGATTAAGATTGCCGCCGCTTCCAGGCTTCCTGGCGGTCGACAGACGCACCCAGAACACTTTTAAAACGTTTGTCACGGTCGATTTGGCCATATCCAGCAATTTTGCCAACTTGGCATGTGAGAACGTCGGGTTCTCTTGCTGCGCGAGCAAAATTTTGACACGCTGCTCCTCTTGCTTGGACGTCATTTTGAAAACCGGAGAGCAAACGGTGAAAACTCATCATAGCAATCATTGCACAGTGGGGATTTTGGCAGCAAAATGGCTTGAAATTGTAACATATTACTTCCTTTGGGAAAAATGTCAAGAATTTTATTTTGCATATCAATCGGCGCACGCAGTGATAAGTGCATGTGTGGAGCCTATTTTGCCCCAAAATCCCATATTTTTCTGTAGTTCTTTCCCATTATGTTACTTCACTGATTCAAATAGTCAGTACTCTTTATCAGAAGTAGCCAATTTGTCTTCTAGTAGTCAGCTTGTGCCTTTTAAAAACTATTGATAACATTTATAGGAGATAATAGGGTCAAATAAGCCAGATTTTGTAATAAAATATAAAAGTTTTCCGAATTTCAACTCAATATTATATATTAAATATAAAAAAAGATATGCTCAGAAAGTGGATTGCAATAGTCTAAAGGACAAAACTGATTCAAATGCATGTTTTGAGCGTATTTTGCCCCGGTATCTCATATAAAAACAATCAACTTTTTTTGAAAGATTTCAGATAACTGAACAGTTTTTGCCGCTGTGGTTGTTTTATATACTGTGTACGGACAAATATACACATGTTTAGCGCCTGATTTACCCCAAAATCCTCTATCAATTGAAAACATTTAAACTGGTTTATTGGCTTAAATAGAAAATAAATTTCTTTGGAAATTTCCAAATGTACCATTTAGAAGCCAGTAAGTGGGCTTTGATTAACTTTTGAAAACATTTATAGGAGAATGTGGGGTCAAATAAGCCATGTGTCAAATATACAAGTTTGCTCATGTTGAATGGCATATTAAAAAATAAATGTGATCGCTGTACAAAATGCTCAGTAAATTGGTTGCAATAGTCTAAAAGACCAAAATTAGGCATGTTTAAGTACCTTGAATGAGTATAAACCGCCCAACAATCGGGGGCAGTGGAAGTAGTAACAATGGTAAGTAAGTTACCTCTATGGTAATACTGCGAGAGCCCCCAGTCAAGTTTGCTGAAGTACTGAACATCGACCTAAATTTAGTTGAAAATCTCAAATTGATAAGCTGTCTCGCTTTATCAGACCGAAAACTTGATCCGGATAAAGTGGCCCACCTGTACGCAGAATTCAAACAGCAAGTTTTACAGGAGTTTCCGTTTGTGCGTAACCTGCCGTCATGCATCCACAAGTACCAACATTTGGCGGAGTTCATAAGACAACTGGTAAGCTTAGTAGTATATCTTAGTCTATAACTGTTTAGGATTTTCCTATGAATTTTGTGGATGAGCAGTCTTCTCCACGCTGCCATAAAATTTATAAACATATCAGACCAAATATGGCACGTCAAGTTTCTCCTGATGCAAACCTGACAGATATGATGAAGATGGTCCTAGCCCGATCAGATCCGAAGATCGCGTGTGAGGTGGTACAGCATACGGTCCATCAGAGGACACAAAAGTCTGATGATGCATTTGAGGCAGAACTGCAACAGTTCATAGTAGAGTCTGATGATGAAGTGGCCTACACTGAAAACTATGGTAATGATGATGACCATTCCGATTGGGTCAGTGACAGCGATGATGACGAAGATCCAGAGTAACAGAGAACCGCAAAGTCCTAAATAATTATTTTATTGATAATATCACAAATTACCTTGTAGAAGGTCAAGAGAAATTGTTTTCAATTGCACCATGTTCGCTAAATAAAGTCTGCTTCAGTTTTAATCCGCACTTAGAAAAAAAAATCGATGTCGAGAATGGATTGAAGTAGACGAAAAACAATCGCATAAGATCAAATGGTTTTAAACGAACTTTTAACTTACCAGAAGATTTTCCCAATAATTTCCAAAAATTTATGTTTCCATTAATATTAAGCATGAAGGTTTTTTTTAACACCTCCCAACCAAGCCTCTAAAAAAAGTGGAACGGCAAACTTGAAATGTTTTTAAAAATAAAAGCTAAGCCATTTTTTGACAAATTTTACGATGCCGCTGAAAACTTCAAACTTCTTCTCCATGTTAATGATTTATTAGCGAGATTTCTAGACTTTGGCTGGTTCATCTCGAATAATCATGAAGTGATTTATATGCTCTGCCAATCAAAGATGGTTATCACTGCTCAGTGACAGCATAGTCTAAATATATTGCTCATTTGATAGACTATTGCAACCAATTTACTGAGCATTTTGTACAGCGATCACATTTATTTTTTAATATGCCATTCAACATGAGCAAATTAGTATATTTGACGCATGGCTTATTTGACCCCACATTCCCCTATAAATGTTTTCAAAAGTTAATCAAAGCTCACTTACTGGCTTCCAAATGGTATATGGGTCATTCCTGCTCAAGTGGGTACAGAATTTAAAAACAAACAAAACAAAACAAAAAATCTCGCACATGGTGAAAATAGGCCATTTTTTGACAATTTGGATACCTTCCGGTTATCAGTCTGTTTACTGTAGTTACTATAACAAAAACAAAACGTTTTTACATATATAAAAATTTACATTAAAAAACCTTCAAGTTGACGTTCTAAGATCACGAATAGCTTATTTGGTTGTGGATTAATCTCTTCTGAAAGTTGAAAGTAGGCACTTTAGAGCAACATAGAAAAGGCGTTTGTTCAGAATTCCAAAATAAGCATTTTGGCCAATTTTAGCTCAAATCGGTGACATCGACCACAGGTGGTGTACCCACTTGAGCTGGAATGACCCATATTTGGAAATTTACAAAGAAAGTTATTTTCTATTTAAGTCAATAAACCAGTTTAAATGCTTTCAATTGATGGAGGATTTTGGGGTAAATCAGGCACTAATCATGTATATATTTGTCCGTACACAGTATGAAAACAAGCACATTTGATGCTTAGATTCCTTTTTACCCCAATTAAACCTCAATCTCATGTTAGCATTTCAGCGGCAGAAACTGTTCAGTCATCAGAAATCGTTCAAGAAAAGTTAATTGTTTTTATATGAGATACCGGGGCAAAATACGCTCAAAACATGCATTTGAATCAGTTGTGTCCTTTAGACTAACTATTGCAATCCACTTTCTGAGCATCTCTTTTTTTTTTTTTATATTGAGTTGAAATTCGGAAAACTTTTATATTTTATTACAAAATCTGGCTTATTTGACCCCATTATCTCCTATAAATGTTATCAATAGTTTTTAAAAGGCACAAGCTAACTACTAGAAGACAAATTGGCTACTTCTGATAAAGAGTACTGACTATTTGAATCAGTGAAGTAACATAATGGAAAAGAACTACAGAAAAATATGGGATTTTGGGGCAAAATAGGCTCCACACATGCACTTATCACCGCGTGCGCCAATTGAAAATATGCAAAATAAAATTCTTGACATTTTTCCCAAAGGAAGTCATATGTTCCAATGAGTGGTTTGAGCGGCAGACAATTTCAAGCCTTTTTGCTGTAAAAATCCCCACTGTGCATTGTATATACACTCAACTTCCAAATGCAGTATTTCAGGGTTTTAAATGCATTTTTAACAGAAATACACCAATTTGAAGTTGACCAATTTTTGCGCGTTCCAGACTTTATGTCTTGGATTCAAGCTATCACTCTTTAGTTTACTCTTTTATTAGCCATTTGTGGACCTGAAAAGTTTGTTGGAAGCTTGGAAGCTAGTTAAGAACAATACTGTGGAAATATATCCTCGATTTGTTGTTTGAAGCAAGGGTGACGCGTTTGGCATAGATGACCCACAGAAACTCACGAAGAAACTGATTTCGATCCATAGCGGTGCGGCTTCTTCCTCCTTCTATGGATACTCATGTGGGCTCGCTGCTAGCAGGCTGCCTTTCGTTGTGACCTGGAGAACAATGTTAACGCCACACGCTGAAAGCTCTGCTGCTGCTGCTGCTGATGCTACTGCTGCTGCTGATGCTGCTGATGCTGCTGATGCTGCTGCTGCGGACACCTACAACCGGACCCCACCACACACGGTGATTGAATGAGCACCGTTCAGTGAGACAGGATCGACTTCGATTTTCGGTGATAATTTTGATCACTATTGCAACAGTTGGACATTTGTGTATTTTTCAATAGTGACCTATTGATAAATAATATAGTGTTCATCAGATTGGTAGATAAATTTCAAATCGTTTGGTTTGTTTAGAATTAAAATCCCTTTGCTATTGACAGAGTTATATGTGGTCAAACCTGACATCTTTTCGTAATGCGTTCGATTTTGGTTTTTTGAAATTGCACCCCAATATGTTGTCGAAAGACGTAATCCTACGCCAATAAATATCCCATATAAATGTGTGCCAGTCATCGGTAATGCTTCCAAGTCGTCGGCTGGGCCGAAAATTACCGCTGCGAAAGTTATGTTGTGTATTTGGTGGGACCAGGTCAGTGTTATCTATTATGAGCTGTTGAAACCGCCTGAAACCATCACTGGCGAATGGTATCGAACTCAATTGATGCGATTGAGCAGAGGCACGAAAAAGTGATTCTGCAATACGTTGCCAAACCTATTAAGATATGTAATGTAGCCATCATCCCTTCGAAGATCTTGTCTTGTATGCAGCTCCCCTTAATAGCAAGATCAATTTGAGCTACCGATCTGAGTTCACAATATCGCTGTATGAAGGGCCAAAACGGAGGCGTGGACCCATAAGCAGATACACTTACGCGAAATCCACGGGGATTTAAGAATCTTCTTCCAACGATACGATCCAACAAATAAAATGACGCTATTCGCAATACTTATTAAGCATGCTACAGAATGGCAAAATGGCTTGATTCGTGGATATCTTCAAAAGACGAACACTTCTACCGTCACGGTATTCGAGTTCTGCCAGAAAGATAAGAAAAGTTGTAGCTAGCGATGGGCAATATTTTGAATGATTCATTTGCAGCCATTTATAAAAATGCATTTCCATAAAAAAAATAGCCCGAATTTAGTTGCGAACCTAATAATTGTGTTTCAAGTCCTTCGGCTCGGTAGATTTTATAAAGACAGTTTAGCTTTATGAAATGAGGCTGTTTTATACAAGTTCTATGTTTTTTTTTTAAGGCAAGATTGTGCAGCAGAAACGCGTTAACATGCGGCGAAGTACAATTTTAACATATTATTTAATTTTATTCATCGGACTATTGTCTACATGAAACAACCTTAAAGCTAAAACAATTCAAGTGTTTCTAATCCGTGCCAAAAAGCGAGATGAAGATTCCCCAAATTCGAATAATTCTTCGACAGCCGTAAACGTACGCATCATAGGGGAAATGACGGCTTCGGCATGATAGACTATTTTCGGCAACACAAATTGAAACACTATTTTCACTGGATTTTCTTACGAAAACACTTCACTGAATGCATGCAAACGATTCTTTATGCTTTCAACTTCAATTTGACTATATTTTTACCACTTAGAAAAAGCAATCTAGCAAGGTTTTCTTGAAATGCAACACCCGCACTACAAATTGTAGCTGATTTCGAGTTGCCGATAATAGAACAGCAGATTTACACGCAGTTCAAATGAAACGGTTGCCGAAGAAAAACTGGTTGCCTCACTAGAGAAGATTGGAGCTTTGTAAAAGCGTTTCAAAACAGTTTTTGACAATTCTTTCGACTGAAATTGTTAGAGCAGCTGGCAGCAAAAGATTGTAAACAAACCAATACTGCATATATGTGCGTTCCTTAGAGAAAAAGGCTATAGAAAGATGGTCGCTGCTTAGGTTGCCGAGAATACGTAAATTCCCCTAGTTGTTAGTGGTTCGTTGTAACCGAACGCCGTTCGATGGTACCGCGGTTGGAGAAGGGTACCACTTCGTAATGTTCTCGGTGGTACTCGGATATCCAACAGCGAGAGAAGCCTCGAGCAGTCGACCTCACCATTAAATAGCTTGGCAACAAAAACTGCTTGCTGATTTTTCCGTCGGCATTCCAGAGTATCCAAGCTCAGCAGATTGCAGCGATCAGAATACGGCGGGAGATTTTGCGGATCACGCCATGGTAGATTACGTAATGCTATCCTGATATACTTGCGCTGAACACTTTCGATCCTCAAGCTCCAAGTCAACTGATGAGGAAACCAGACCAAGGAGGCATTTTCCAGGATTGGTCGCACAAGTGAGCAATAGAGAGCTTTCAGGCAGTGTGGGTCAATAAAGTCCTTCGATATTTTCGACACAATCCTGATGATGACATATGATGGTATCAAGTCTTTGTTGATTGTCATTCGAATGATACTTCATAGTATACTTTAAGCTAAGTTCTGACCACCGTTTCAGATCAGATTTCACAAAAAGATAATCTTCACATCTGACCTCCTGCGGTCGATGTTAACCAGAGCAACGTGATTTCATAACGAATGGCATGTTCTTCTATAGAAAACAAAAATATAAAATCCATAGAACATCCCACTGCGACCTAGCAAGAAGTACAGTCGACTTGTTTCGCGCTCCGGTATTTCGGAAGTTTTCTCGGTATTCGGTTGGTTTAAATTATCAGTTTTTTCTCGCTTAGTGATTACTGGCATAGTACCCGGCTAAACAATTATCTGAAAGTGAGTTTTTTTCTGAGAAGAAAGTGTGTTTTCGGCATCATCGGAAGGAAAATTGTTTTTGCGATTGCCAATTCGCCAACCATTTTGCCATCGGTGCGTGATCACGCATACCTGCACACAGAACATCATCATCGAGTGTCAGCATCTGCCTCCGGTCATCCATCATCGTGTGTCCAGCTGAGTGCTGAGCCTCATACAACTACACACCACTACAAAGATCGCCCGCACACACGCATCGAAGGTCACCCACGCTGTGCGTCGCTCCGCTGCTGCTGTGTAATCACTCGGTGGTAGTAGTATAGCAGATAAGTTTTTTTTTTCCTGTTTCTTTCTCTCGCCCATCAGTTCAATTTAATTTTGTGTTTCTGTGTTTGTAGTTTTTTTTTCTGTTTATTGTGTCTGTGTGGTTTTAAGCATCGTTTCAGTGGTAGAGCGTTTACCGCTCCCACTAGTACGGCAAAATGGACGTCTCGTCAGAAGACGATATGGACATTTTGTCGGAAGATGACACCAGTTTGCCACTCGATGGCAAGAAAAGACGAAAACGTCGTGTCATTCATGGTTTGTCTCAGAAAAGCCCCCGATCGCGAGCCTATCCAGATGACTCGACTGGGCCATGGGTTGTCTACTTTCAGCCCAAAAACAAACCTTTGAACTTGATGCAAATTTCCACTGATCTGACGAAGCGATACTCAGCCGTGACCGAAATCACGAAGGTTAGGCATAATAAACTTCGTGTTGTCGTTTCTAACCTGAAGCAGGCTAACGAGATTGCTGCCTCCCAGCTCTTTACGATTGAGTACAGGGTTTACATACCAGCTCGTGATGTGGAGATCGAAGGTGTGGTCACCGAAGCGAGTCTGACCCCCGAGATCTTGGAGAAGCAGGCGGTTGGCCGTTTCAAGAACTCCTTGCTCCCCCCGGTGAAGATACTGGATGTCCAAAAACTGGGCTCAGTATCTGTCAGCGAGGGTAAAAAGAGTTTTACCCCCACAGACTCGTTTCGCGTGACCTTTTCTGGTTCAGCCCTTCCTCAGTACATCGAGTTGGGAAAACTTCGGCTACCTGTGCGCTTGTTTGTTCCTCGGGTCATGATCTGCCAAAACTGCAAACAGTTGGGACATACGGCCTCTCACTGTGGCAGCAAGGAACGCTGTTCCAAATGCGGGGAGAAGCACGAGGATGGCGCCTGCACAGTCACGGCACCAAAATGCGTGTACTGCAAAGGATCTCCTCCTCATGGTCTCTCGTCGTGTCCGGTGTACAAACAACGCGGGGAAAAACTAGAGCGCTCTCTTAAAGAACGTTCCAGGCGGTCTTTTGCAGAAATGCTTAAGACAGCCACGCCATCGACCAACGACAAAAATCCCTTTTCTCTTTTGTCAGATGACGAGACTGACTCTGACTTGGCTGAGGAGGGAACTTCTTTCTGTTTTTCAGCACGGAAACGAAAACGCATCCGTTCGCGGAAAGTTGCAGATCAAGAACCCCAAATCAGCTTGCCCAAATCAAGGAGTGGTGGAAAAAAGGAGACTTCTACTCCTCCTGGATTCCGCAGAACTGATTATACCCAGGATTTTCCACCTCTCCCGGGGACATCCAAAACCCCCGATGCCCCAATTTTCAGAACACAAGCCCCTTCTTCATCTGGGTTGTTCTCATTTGATAACATTGTGGACAGTATCCACAATTACCTCGATATTTCTGATCCTCTGAAAAGCATTGTTCTGGCAATGCTTCCTACTGTGAAAACCCTCTTGAAGCAGTTGACATTAAAGTGGCCCCTCCTTGCAGCAATCATCTCCTTCGATGGATAATTTTCCAAACGAGGTCGGGGATTTGATCACTGTTCTACAGTGGAATTGTCGAAGTCTTATTCCTAAGATAGAATCGTTTAAGTTTTTGGTTCACAATAATGATTGTGATGCATTTGCTCTGTGTGAAACTTGGCTCTCTTCAGATATCGATCTTCCTTTTCATGATTTTAACATTATTAGACTGGATCGTGAGGATTCGCGTGGAGGAGGAGTACTTTTGGGGATCAAAAAGTGCCATTCCTTCTATAGAGTGAATCTTCCACAATTTCCAGGTATTGAAGTTGTCGCATGTCAGGCTTTTGTTAAAGGCAAGAGCCTTTGTATTGCTTCTGTGTATATTCCTCCCCGAATTTCGATTAGTCAAAAACAACTTTCAGATATCTGTTCAGTTCTTCCTACTCCACGGTTGATTATGGGAGATTTTAATTCCCACGGTACAGGCTGGGGGGAACTGTATGATGACAACCGTTCTACTTTGATATATGACCTCTGTGATAACTTCAATATGACAATTCTTAACAATGGAGAAGTAACACGTCTGGCTGGTCCATCCTCAAATGGAAGTAGATTAGACCTCACACTTTGCTCTA